TCCCACTCCCCCTGCTTGTGTTCCCTCTCTCGCTGTGTCTCTCTCTGTCAAATAAATAAATAAAATCTTTAAAAAAAAAAAAAAAGAAGAAGAAGAATTTAGTTCAGTTTCTTTAAGGGAGGTGAAAGCAGAGAAGGTCCTTGAGCTATCAGTTCCTTGGAAGGAAACCAGAGGCCTGGCTGGACTTAGTGCATGATCTTAGCTCTCCTCTTATCCAGGTCTTACTTCCTTTCTTCTTTTTTTCCCCACAGGTAAGCTGCCCTTCAGTTCACTCAGCCTCTTCCATCTCCCACCCTACTCACCTCTCTTAAATTCCCAGGGAACAAGATATTCTAAGTTCAGGTCTGGGCCCTAGCCCACTTGGGACTCTGGAGCAGTAGGGCTACCTTCCTATTCTAGGACTTTGCTTTCTGTAGCTTTAGACTCTAGGAACATAACCCATTTGGGCTTCACATTCCACACTGGCCTGGGACATGGCAAAGGGCAGTACTCAGGCAGAAGGCAATCTCCCAGAGTGCCTGTATCTTAGGTTTTACCACAATTTGCAGTCTCTGGCTTCTATCTCCCAAGTGCAAGCCCACCTTCTGTCATCAGGTTGTTGGGCTTATGGGCTTCCTAGAACCACCTCAGCTCAAGGCAGCTCCAAAAGCAGAAAAACATCAACAAGCCATAGGCTCTCTGAGGAGTCCTCACACCCCCACATATGGCCCTCAGTAGACAGAAGCCTGGATCCTGGCAAAGGACCTAATATTAAGAAAGAGAACTTAATTGGGAATCCCACTCTTTTTTTATTAACATATAATGTATGTGGGTACAGGTCTGTGATTCATCAGTCTTACAAATTCACAGCCCTCACCATAGCACATACCACTCTTACTACGGATCTCAGACAATTTACCTAATCTCTTTGAGCCCCAGCCTGTCTCTCTCTATAAAATGGATTTTCTTTTTTAGATTTTTATTTATTTATTTGAGAGAGAAAGAGAGAGCATGAGTGGGGTGAGGGGCAGAAGGAGAAGCAGGCAGAGCAGGGAGCCTGATACAGGACTTGATCCCGGGACTCCGGGATCATGACCTGAGCTGAAGGCAGACACTCAACCGACTCAGCCACTCAGGCATCCCTATAAAATGGAATTTGAAGTCACCTTCCTAAAAGGACATGGGAATAAACGTTTTGATTCCTGAAAGTAACATACAACTGATAAAAACATTATCATCCCAATGGCTACACAGCTACCTGGACAGCTCTGGGGACTCAAGAGGAACTGTCTTCACAGCCCAGAAGTACTTACCTATTTCAAACTAAGCCAAAGAACCTATGTGTATAAATAATTCTTCACCACAAAGGAACATCTTCTGGATTTAAGTGGAAGACACAAATGGCCTCAGTTTCAAAGATCATATGCCCTCTTCTTTGCCTTGAAATACTCTGCCTCAGGTGAGGGAAGAACAAACTGGGAATGGGGTAGGGACCTAAACCCCTCCTGAGGTCTCTAGGGAAGGGCCTGACATAGGCTTTAAGGTCAGAGAGACATAAATTTTGGTTCCATATCAACCACTAGTGAGCTCTGTAAACTTATACACATTACTTAATCTCTTTGAGCCTCAGTTTTCTTATCTGTAAAATGGGGATAACACCAACTATACTGTAAGCTTATAAAGCTGATATAAGGATGATACGAGATGGTGGTCCAATGTCTGGCACATAAGGAATAGTCAGTAAATGGTTACTAATTTTACAATGAAAAGTTCTTTCTGGTATCTCCAGATAGTTCTAACCATAAGCCAGGAGATAGGGCCTTGCACATCTTCATTCAGATTCTAGTAAAGAAGAAACCTAATTTCTCTATTCAATATGAAAGCAGGCTTCCATAATGACCCCACTATCCTGAGTGTAACTGGCAATGCATTAGCAAGAAGTCAAAGAGTGTCCAGTACCCACTGCTTAACAATCTTGGTGTAATGCAAGAGGATACAGGTTAAAGAAAAACTGCCCAGAGAGGCCAGTTTTGCATAATACAGGTTGTCAAGCTCCTGGCCATGTCAGGATCAGGAGGGAGAGAGATCCCAGGGCACAAAGTTTGTTTTGTTATTTAAAAAAAAAGTTAGTTCAAAATTGCTGAGGTTTCAGACACACACACCTTTCCCCAAGCACATACGATAGGCATTACCCACAGACTATTCAGTAGCCTGTGCCCCATTTTTTATTTTATTTTTTTTTAGCAGAGCCTTTGAAATGAGAAGTAACTTCTAGCCTAAAAATAGCAGCGAAGGAGAATCACCAATGGAAAAGTTCCTGGCAAATGGCTATCCAATCTTGATGTCAGAGGTCTATGCCTTGTCCCTAAAAAATTGCTTAGTCTCAAATCTCTGATGTACTGAAT